GTGGTATCGCATAATTTTACTTCAAAGTGAGAATGGCAATCAAAACACTGTTCATAAGTAAGTTAGATATCTCAATTAAAGCCGAAACTAAGTAAAAATTTTAGATTCTGTGCTGGAAATTAACCGACTGAACTTGAAATATGTAATTCCGAGAGAAATGAAAGTGTTTAGTCACCACTGACCAGAGATATGTATAGAGTTTCATGGTTATCAAATGAGAAATGTAAGTCAAATATACTTTGTCTAGCGATAGCATATTTAACAACAGCACCAAAAATCCAACAGGATTATCAACTAAACAAATAACCGAAAATAGGATACACTAGCAGATAAGAAAACAGTTTGTACAAAAATTAGATATTCCAAGATATTGAAGCACGAATATAGTGGATGTGGTTAATACGAATGTTTGGTGACCTCAGTAGTTAGCTACTTTCAGAGAAATGCCAAGTGAGGTTAGTCTAATCACTCAAAATAGTCTTATGAATCTTGTTCCTTTTTGTAACATTTCGAATCCCAGACTATTTGCAAGTCATATGTGAGCAGTTATTATTGAAAATTGTTTATACTTATCAGTAAAATTACGGAAATAGAATTGATCAGTTTGATCATCAGATAGGACTGGTTTATAGTGCTGATTAAAATCCTGTTATTCATTGGTGAATGACAGTCTGATGCATAAAAAACCATGCTATCTATCTCAAAATGACGCGCTTATTATATATGCTTTGTTCGAAGTTCGAAGTTATATATGCTTTGCTTTGACAGATAAAGGTACATCTAGTTATTAAATCTGAAGTATGATGTGCATCATTGACTTCATTACTAGTCACTTACTAATGCAGTTGTTGAGTAATTTTTCGAGAAGGAGCAAAACTACGGCATCAATGTAAATATTTTTCACAAATCTTTAAAAACGTCATCTGGAATTGTATATTTTGTTGGGAAATGTACAAAAACGTCTATCACCTCATTCTACTGGGGTACTACTAGCAAGATGTTTTGTACTCCTATACATCCTTCTCTTAATGTATGAATAAGCTTAGTTAGAAGAACGCTAGAATAACATAAACTTGTATGTCTTCAGAGACGCAAAGACAACAGCGGACATGCTCACACCATTACTGCAAAAAGTTTGAAAGGAAAGATATCTGCAGGCTCACCGGAAAAAAAGCTACCTTGACAAAATTCCAAAGACGGGAGACCTAAGTTATTGCAAAAACTGGCACGAAATCATGTTTTTATCCACCCAAATCAAGCAAAATATCAAGCCGCATCATCTGGGAGAGACCAAGAAATGATTTGGATTTGAATTTAAGACCGAAACTGGGTGGTTGGCTAACTGCAGGAAGAACAAATCACGTGCTAGTGCAATTGGAACGCTACTAATCATCAAAGAACAGAGAATAGAATAGTAGCCATGTATATCTCTACCTCAACTTTATTGACATTGAAAAAGCCCTAGACAGCGTAGACCAAGAAGTAATCCGGTAGGCAATTGCTTCAACACTACGGTCTGAGTGCCACAAATATTCAGCAACCTCATTCAACACCCAATATGAAAACGACACATGCCAAGTGATACACAATGGAAAGCTCAGTGACGCCCTCAAAGTGAAGAAAAGAAAGAGCAAGACAAGGCTGCCGCCTACTATCATCACCAACCACATTCCTGATTGTGGTCGACTGAATCATGCAGCAGACAACTGTGAGGAGCTTCGAGAAGATTGGCATACGCTGTTCGATCGATGAGAAGACTTGAGAAGATTTGGATCTCGCCAACAATGATAATTTGTGTCTAATGTCTTGTGGCACAGACTCGAAGATCTACAGGCGAAACTAACAAGTTGGCACTAGAGTTGAGGCAGTGAGGATGGGACTTCAAGTGAATGTGGGGAGGATGGAGGTGATGAAGATACAGAACCAACAGCGACAATCACCACCACCACCACAACCACAACAAGAAGAAGAAGAAGAGGAGGCACCAATCATCATGAACTGGAGAAACCTAAAGGAAGCAGTCTCCCTCGCCTACCTAGGTGAGGCAGCATTCTTTCAACTACACGCAACACAGATGAAGATGTCAATACCAGCATCGGAAGGACAACAAGACACGCCTTCACTAATCAGTGTGGAGATCTACTGCATTCTACTGCACAAACAAGAAGGTGCGGATTCTCAAGACTAATGTCGGTCAAGTCAGTGCTTGCATGTGATGGATGTTTCAGAGACTTGACGCATCACGAAAAGCACTTCCAACAAACTACAGACATTTATGAACAGCTGGTGTCTACGCTAGCTCACTCGATACTGACAGTGAAGATCAGATGGTCAGAATAATAATAGGAGAGAGGAACAAGGAACTCTGGCTGGCTGGATGGTTGGCTGGCTACCAGGCTACCTGGCTGGTAGCGAACCAAGCAAGAGGCCATCATCCAACAAATATGTAGAAGAAGAAGAAAGTGGAGATGTATTGGATTAGGCATACACTGAGAGGGTGGATTGGAAACATCAAGTGTCAAGCGTCAGGCGTGAGGCGTCAGGTGAGGTGGTCGAGTGGAATTCGAATGGGAAACGACGAGTTTTGGCATGTGAGGTGAGTGTGACAATGAGTAGATGGTGTGAGGAAGAAATGGAAGTTTGTGGGCTTGTATTGGTGGCGCTAGGTTGAGAAGACTGGAGGAAGAGAGTGTAATGGAGACGTGCTACTGACACCCTATATTCCACTAAGAACCCGAGAGAAAAATAGTAATAAGCAATAATATGTGTCTTTAGATATCTTAGTCAGCAACTTATTTTTGCTTCACTTACGTTAATTACGCAAAGCAAGTAACGCATATCTTTCAATCTACTAATCATTCGATCTACTCTCAGCCAAAATACAGCTGTGCTGTTAATTAACATTCATAGAATCGGCCAGATTCGTACCATCCTACTCTCTTTTACCTTCTCAGTGAATATGTGAAACGATAAAATGTATTTTAGGCACGCACGAAGGTTGCGTGTTCTCGAAATAAAATAAATTATTTATCAGAAAGAATAGTTTTTAGTTAACCTTGAATATTTTTCATAATACCTACTCAAAAATACAAAATAAGCAGTTTAAAAAGGAATTCAACAGATGTTTAGTTAAGGAAATTATAAATATCATGAGAATGCTTAGACGCCATCAGAAGTCTACAAGTGTGAGTAAATGGTATAGATTACAAAAACTGTCACTTTACGGAATATTGAGCGTCTGATAACAAACAACTTTCAAGTAGACATTGGAAATATTCTGAAACCTGTTTTGGGAAATAAAGTATTCTACAACTAGATGTCAAGTTAAAACTAAGATTGATTGAAGCGGTTATATGATTTTGGCCAAGAAGATGATTGGCTCATCGGATAGTAACTAATTTGGATTGAGTCAAAAGGGTTTAACTTTACAGTGTTTCCTGATTATTTTTAAACTGTTAAAAAGCCACCTCTATCCATTCCTTAGTTCACTTTGCTTTCGTGAACATAGTGACTGGATATCATTTAGACTATGAAATTTCTTCCAAATAACTGGACAAATAAAATTTATTTTAACTTTTTTACCACTTGAGTCATAGACACTTTCAAGAGACTGATATCACTAGGGCTAGATCAAACTTTAAACTGTTTGTGCATAGATGATTGTAGTCAGTTTTCATACCCTTGCTAAACTCAGACTGATAGATCGAAAGGAATGCGAGGATCTCATTCATATTGAGTCTTCTAGAAATACTTTATAAAAGGAGCATTTCATTGTTTTTTTTCATGTGTTTATCATCTGACCAGTCAAATTTCAAGTGTATTTAAATAATGAATGCTACAAATATTTAACTGATAGTCTACGAATTAGGGTTTGTTGTACAGTTCATTGAAGGTAATCATAAGTACTGTCATACAGAGAGGAAAGAGTAACTCTGAAGGTCATTCTAAAAACTAATGAAATAACTAATTGTGAAACGCTAGTTCATGAAGAACTACTATTCTAGATGAAATTAAAAAACCTAGTAGGTTATTTACTTTTTTGCTAGAGTGTCCGTTAGAGTTTAGTCGTGTCAAATATTAACATTAGTAGCTATGACTGTGTTCATATGCACTGAATTCCATAACTATGCACTGTAACATCATTCTAACACAGCGCAGATTAAATGACATTTTTATCCTCACAGAGGCCAACATTACATATACATATAAATTATTCACAAAGTACAGCATGTTTCAGAGGCGTTCACTGATTCTATTCTATACCAATCAAATTATATCTAAAGTGATCGTTTACTAACTGCAGTGTAGAAGGTGGAGACACCTAACTTCTCCGTTTATACTTTTCCATCAATAATCAATCTACTAATGAAGTTTAAGCGAAATGACCTCTTTAAAAGTAACGTACACTGAAAAAAATTCGAGGATCATCAAAAAACTTGAAAAGAACATGCATAGCTCTTTATTAGTATTTTCTGCATCTTCCTCATCGTCCTTAATAATAATACTGAGAATAATACCTGGAAAAAAGGAGCTGTGTTTGAACCGGAGAGCCAATAATCAAAAGACCATTGCCTTTACCAACGACTAGCGTATCCACATTTTACAGTTCATTGGATAAAGCAAGTTATCATAGTTAAAAATTTTTCGAATGAACTAATATGTGTAATAAGACGGCTATTTTTCGTTCACACTGATTACCATTTATCTTCCTACTGACTCTAGTCATCGTGAAATGCTAGGGCTTCTCACCAACCGCTTATGAGTTGACTGAATTTAAAAAGTACTCGTTTTTGAGTCTAGCTTCCTTTTGAAAAAAATTAATTGTTTGAAGGTTTTAAATGAATTCAAGAAACAAACAATGAAAAGGCTATCAGGCACACTTTGGTTAAAATTTCTATAAATGATAATATCACTAGGAAAATTGTTTCTTTTTGTCATATTTTATCTGAAATAAAGAATACAGTTATTGATATGAAGTTATCAAGAGAAAAAAAACTAACCTGTTTAAGTTCAACATATATTAAATAAGGTAGTGTTAGACCAATAAATGTGAATGTAACAACCAACAAGAGAACAGTTGTACGTGTTTGACCAACAAACCATCCTTTTCCAAATGACTTTGACCTACACTTACGAAGTAATATGTGTATGTCTGTATTCTTTCTACTGATAGTATTTGATAAAGCATTTCCATCATATTTATAATTCTGACAACAGCGAACATTAGAGCGTTCAGTATCACTTTCACCAATTTGTTCACAGTCTTCGTTATTCGAGTGATTTAAACAAAATTGATTTTGTGAGTTATTTGAAATCATAGAAATACAACATGAATATTTTGAGTTATATGAAATAGCGTCTTGAGTAAAAGATGACTGAAAATCTATAGAATCTGTACGTTTATTACATGTCAGTGTACCGTCCCAAGTGTGTGGTAAAACACTTGAATGAATGATGTAGCGACTAGAAGTAGGATAGTATGTTGTTAGTGTGTTCTGATAAAAATCACTGAACATTTTCACTACTTTATGCGTATTTTTTCGTTTATTCAACGGATATGAACATACAGAACCGATAATAATTGGATTATTCTCTGGGTGAAGTATACATGAACATGGAATTAGTGATTGTTTTTTATCATTTTCTTTTTCAAGTTTTTCTTTTGTATTCTTGTTTGTCTTAAACAATTGAATAATTGACACCATGCATTTATTCAAATGGATCAATATTCTGGAAGTATACTTTGAACTATTTTCAAAATACTTATTACTATCAGATTTTTGTTTGGGATAAAACCATGGTAACGTTCTTAAATAATGAATCAATAGAAGATTGAATATAATTGTTACTGTATAGGGAATGAATCCAAAAATTATTAAATGTTGACGACTTAGCCATATACTAATATGACGGGCTATTGAGAATGCTGATTTTGATTGTTTCGTTTCAGATGGCTCAGTAAATAAATTATGAAATGTTAATAACTGTTTGCAATCCATATTTTGATTGAATTCTGATGACAGATTACCAAATAGTAATGAGGTTCCATTGATAAAGTGACTATGGAGTCCATCGAATTCATCTCCTTCTGATTGTGATGTGGTTAATTCAACTTCACTTGATGGATCCCCACTGTCTTTAGGGTCCGCAAAGATGCAGAAATGACTGTGCTGAATAAAAAATAAGTTAGGCATTTTATTAAAATATGTAAGGTTAAATCCCAGTATTCAGTGTTTATTCGTCTATTTTAAGGTTCTGTCGCATTACCAATACCTACTGACTGAAGAGTTCAGTGCGACAGATGAAACAATCTTTGATCAACTGTTGGAAATTTATTTGATTATCTAAACATCAATTGGATTCAGGTACTAAAAAGTATCTTCATATGGGTAAACCATATACTTCATAACTCATCAAAACCAATAATTTCATCGTCAAAATTACTTTCAAATATTGTTTATATGTGTATACCAAAATTTCAGAGAATTAGCACAATGGTCAAACAAACTGCATTTGTTTTTAAAACTCATCAGGAACAAACATACCAACTGTATACAAAGTATACTACTGAAAACGAGTAGCTGGGAGCCATACACTTTGATCTGCACATGGTAGTTAATTTCTTTTTTGATCAAGTCTTAGGCTGAAACGATCATTTTATTCCTTTGCAAAACTTCATGGACCTTTAGTTGAAGGTTGAAGCCTAATAAATATAGGCAATGAGACTGTTTATATCATTTAGAGGTTTTGTTTTGAAAAAATTGATAAAGTTATTTATCTGTCAATAGAAGCGTTCTTCGTATGACTTATATAATATTTTCTAATAGCAGCATAAAGCATTTCTATGAAGTTATATTTGGAGGAAACGAATACTTGAATTTGTGGGTTTGTGGCGCCTTAATTAATGTCAAGGTCGTATTCATCAAAGATTGACCTCAGTTAGAGAACTATTGAAAACTTAGGAGCACTGGCGGGCTGTTTCATCCTAGTATGGGACCATTCATTAGCATGGATTTATGATCCCACCGGGGATCAGATTCACGACCTTTTGATGATGTGGCGAGCATATGACCACTGAGACACTGAGTCAGATTCCAATGGTTCCTATTCTTCTACCCCTTTCAGCGGGTGACATAGCGTGACCCCCACTCAGTGTCATCCCACGATGGATATGACTTTGCAAATGAATACCGTTTTATTGATTCAGAAGTGTTGACGTATGTCCTTAGCAGTTTTAGCTATCGTATTTATCGCTGTTCATCAAGTAGGTAATTTTACTGAACTCTCTACTGTATTCTGAACAGCAGATTTACTTGAGATTCAGTGTTAATAAACATCCATTTGAATAATATTGTCAATAATTACAACCACTCAACGGTAATTGTGGGTGCAAAGGGAAAACGAACAGAAATGAAAGAAAACCTGTCTTTACTAATTATGCATATAGCACAGATTTCAATTAAACAAACGGTCAGGTGAGAAGCAGAATTTTATTGTACATTACCCTATGTAACCTGAAAGTCATTTAAAATGACTTGTTTAAATTCATCAAGAATCCTACAGCGAAATTTGTTATTTTGACAAATCGAGATTTAGCAGCTGACAAAGAAATTTAACTCTGTCGAGTAATCCATCTTTTAGTGTTTCCTTTCTACTGAAACTCAAATGCTAGTTACCTAGAGTGAAGACAACCGACTGCAAAGTTAGAAAAGCTGACGAAGGGTATTTAAGCGAGGAATACCGATACTTCAGAGAATTATTTCGAAAATCTCTAAGGAATTATATAGCTACAATTAGGGCTGTAACTGAAAGGACTTTATGAAGTGTTTTAGAATGAGGAAGAGATTCCTCAGTAACGGATATATCCTAGTTATATATATATATATATATATATATATATATATATATATATATATATATATATATATATAATCGTCTGGACTTTTTTCAGGCTCTTTTAAAAGAAATATCCCAACATTTTGCCTCTTCAGCCAATCTGAGATTTATAAGTGGGTTCAAATGCTTTCTTCGGAACTTTGAAACGATACAATTAGTTATAAAAGGCCTAAGAGATCTAGAGTTTTTTATCAGGATTTCGCCAATATTTTGCTCATCATAACAGTAACAGAAATATAATATCAAAGACCTGACGACATTACATCAAATAACCAGATTACTACCAGGGACGGAAGAGACCCATACAGATGAAACCAATGAGAGACAATGGAAGAAACCTAGTTACCAAAGAGGAGAAACAAAGAAAACGATGGGGCGAGCACTTCAAAAAACTCTCGAATCGACCACCGCCACCACCTGCAACTCGACCAGAATTACCACCCGCAGTCACAAAACTAATATTAGTGAACACAAACCTTACGCAAAAGCACAAGCGAAGTCCAGAATGCAACAAATTTACTGAAAGCAAGGCAAGCAGAAAGACCAGACAGAATTTTTCTAGAAGCACTGAAAACAGACGCTGAGGCAACAGCCAATATGCTCACACCACTACTGCAGAAGGTTTGCAAGAAAGAAAGGAAAAGTACCTACCGACTGATTGGACGAAGGGCTGCCTTGCTAAACTACCAGAAAAAGAAGACCTAGATCTTTGCAAGGAATGGCGTGGAATCATGCTCCTGTCCACCCACAGCAAGCAAAATATTAAGCCACATCATCCTGGAGAGAATAAAAACCTCTGCATTCAATACCTATTTCAAAACGCCACATGCCAAGTGATACACAATGGAAAGCTCAGTGACGCCCTCAAAGTGAAGACAAGAAGGAGTAAAACAAGGCTGCCGCCTACTATCATCACCAACCACATTCCTGATTGTGGTCGACTGAATCATCCAGCAGACAACTGTGAGGAGCTTCGAGAAGATTGGCATACGCTGTTCGATCGATGAGAAGACTTGAGAAGATTTGGATCTCGCCAACAATGATAATTTGTGTCTAATGTCTTGTGGCACAGACTCGAAGATCTACAGGCGAAACTAACAAGTTGGCACTAGAGTTGAGGCAGTGAGGATGGGACTTCAAGTGAATGTGGGGAGGATGGAGGTGATGAAGATACAGAACCAACAGCGACAATCACCACCACCACCACAACCACAACAAGAAGAAGAAGAAGAGGAGGCACCAATCATCATGAACTGTAGAAACCTAAAGGAAGCAGTCTCCCTCACCTACCTAGGTGAGGCAGCATTCTTTCAACTACACGCAACACAGATGAAGATGTCAATACCAGCATCGGAAGGACAACAAGACACGCCTTCACTAATCAGTGTGGAGATCTACTGCATTCTACTGCACAAACAAGAAGGTGCGGATTCTCAAGACTAATGTCGGTCAAGTCAGTGCTTGCATGTGATGGATGTTTCAGAGACTTGACGCATCACGAAAAGCACTTCCAACAAACTACAGACATTTATGAACAGCTGGTGTCTACGCTAGCTCACTCGATACTGACAGTGAAGATCAGATGGTCAGAATAATAATAGGAGAGAGGAACAAGGAACTCTGGCTGGCTGGATGGTTGGCTGGCTACCAGGCTACCTGGCTGGTAGCGAACCAAGCAAGAGGCCATCATCCAACAAATATGTAGAAGAAGAAGAAAGTGGAGATGTATTGGATTAGGCATACACTGAGAGGGTGGATTGGAAACATCAAGTGTCAAGCGTCAGGCGTGAGGCGTCAGGTGAGGTGGTCGAGTGGAATTCGAATGGGAAACGACGAGTTTTGGCATGTGAGGTGAGTGTGACAATGAGTAGATGGTGTGAGGAAGAAATGGAAGTTTGTGGGCTTGTATTGGTGGCGCTAGTTTGAGAAGACTGGAGGAAGAGAGTGTAATGGAGACATGCTACTGACCCCCTATATTCCACTAAGAACCCAAGGGAAAAATGTTACTATTATTTTTAGCTTCATAGAGTATGTTGTCGAAGTGGAAAGAACAATTCAAAAGTGACATAAGAAGGCTGATAAGACTGGGGAAGATTTTGATTTCTTTCTCCGTACTTTCAAGCTTCCACATTTATGCCTAACAGAAGCGTTTGCTAAATAACAAGTAAATTTCAGTCGTTTAAATAAAATGGAACGTTCAACCTGTTATCGTACTTCTGTTGTATGTGTTGTTTTGCTTCACTAGCTTACTATCCTCACTATGCTTATGTTTTCGAAACTGTTTGGGCTTCTTCTCTTCACTTGCATGTGTCAAGTTTTGTAGTTTACTATTTTAGACCTGTCACTTTGTGCTTTAGTTTAAAATTGTAAGAAATCACCAATTGTCTAAAATTATGGTATTTTTACCGCATGGTACTGAGCGGTATCTTTCTAGATTTCTGTAGAAAACTTATTAATTCATTCTACAACGCTTTCTGATCTTCTACTGCTTAATTTAAAGTCCAGTTGTCTATTGTAATTGTAAACAGGATGATACAGAATTTAAAAGACAGGCAGTGAAAGCAAAATAACCTGCTCTTATTTTCTAGAAACTTCACTTGCTGATAGTCTGAGTTGGAAAGTATCTATGAAGAGATGACTTATACATGACAACTGATAGTCAGTTAACGAATGGGCAGAAAAAACTAGTTAACACCAATGTAATTTTCAGTTTCGGCTGAAATCTTTGAAAATAACTACTTTTAAAATCTCTAAAAGGTCGTCAAACAATGTTGATTATGCAAAACCAAAAGTATTATCCTATTGGGGCTTACCGAATAAAGCTGATTACTATTGACTTATCTGTATTTCTTTTCGGTAAATACTTTAGTGAATAAAAGAAGTGAGTGAATTCTTTCAAAGTTCTACTCTTTTCAGTGAATTCAGCTCAGTTTCTTCCTGTTCATATCATCATAAGATGAAATGGAATAAAAGTTTTAAAGGTTAACACAGACAGAGGCTGAAAAATTGTCTGGTAACTGAACTGTCATTTATTGAATCAAATTGAACATATGCAGTAACAAAAAGATCCAGCTATCGTTGCAGATAAGGCCTTTGACAGCGTCGACCGAGAGGTAATTTGGAAACTGCTTCAATACTACGGAGTACCGCAAACCTTTATCCTCCTCATTCAACAACTATATGAAGATGCCACATGCCGGCCAAGTAATTCACAATGGGAAGCTCAGTGATGCTTTCGAAGTGAAGTGAGACAGGAGTGAAACAAGGTTGCCTACTATCCCCCATGATATTCCTTATTGTGGTGAACTGGATCATGCAGCAAACAGTAGGCAGCGAGAAGAGGGGGATACACTGGACGACGGAAAATAACCTACAAGACTTGGATTTCGCCGATGACTTGTGCCTAATGTCACACAAACTTGAAGATCTGCAGGCAAAACTAACAAGTTGACAGAAGAGGCAGCGAAGACGGGACTTCAGGTGAATATAGAGAAGACAGGGGTGATGAAGATACCGCACCACCACCATCAACAACAACAACAAACAACTCCAATCACCGTCAACGGGAGAAACTTAAGGAAGTAACCTCCTTCACTTATCTAGGAAGCACTGTTTCAACTACAGGCAGCGGTGGCACAGACGAGGACGTCAAAGTCAGAATCGGAAAAGCAAGACAGGCGTTCATTAGCCTGAAACTAGTGTGGAGATCTTCTGCACTCAGCATGTGGAACAAGATACGGATTTTCAACACCAACGTCAAATCAGTGCTCCTGTATGGTTCAGAGACATGGCGCGTCACGAAAGGCATTTCCAATAAACTACAGACATTCATCAATAACTGCTTACGCTCGTTACTGAAGATCAGATGGCCAGAAAGAATAAGCAACAAGGAACTCTGGGAACGAACCAACCAAGAACCTATCACCCAACAAATATGCAGGAAGAAGTGGAGATGGATTGGGCATGCACTGAGAAGGCCGACTGAGGACATCACGCGTCAGGCCCTCGAATGGAATCCCCATGGGAAGCGACGAGTTTGACGTCCGAGGGTGACATGGAGGAGGTCGTGCGAGCAGGAAATGAGAGCTTGTGGGCAGTCGTGGGACCAAGTTCAAGAGATCTCAGAGAACAGAGGTCACTGGAGGCGTGCTACTGAAGCCCTATGTTCCACTAGGAACCCAAGGGACTAATAATAATAATAATAATCGTTGCAGATATTTGCAAAATTTAGCCAGACTGGAAACGAAGGAAGAGAAAAGATTGGAACTACAAATTTAGTTTAAAGATTCGTGAGCCACTTTGACAATGACTATGGATAGTAATGTATAAAGGTATGGTTATTTATATTGAAGATGAGCAGGAAAAGTATTCCAAACAATGGCCTTACTTATTCGGGTAGCCATATTATTAGTCGATTATTCCTTTTTGTAAATGATTGCAGCTGATTTACATTAAGATTAGAAAATCTGTCTTGAAAGTTGTTATGGTGACTTTGATCATTTAGAAGCTGTCTCCTTCATTCATATAAAAGTTTTAAAACAAATTCTCGAAATGAAGTGAAGTTGTGGCTTGGCCAGCAGTTTAAGCTTGTGAATCAGTAGGTGAGCCACTAGATCAACAGAGGAGAAGCAGCTGGTTACGAGTCATGTTTTTTCTCAGTCTTAGTCATCATCTGCAATGAAGTCAGTGTATAGAACTAACGTTATAAAGGAGAACCTAGTCAGTCATAGTCTATGTTCAAAATAGCACCAAATAAATAGTACTGTTTGATAATATAAGAGATTAAAAGCCATTTTTGTCAGCTTAAATTGGATCTTTCCTTGTAGTTAAGTAAACAAACAATAAACCATTATGTTTTTTTTCAGAAATTCATGACTATTTATCACATACAGTTTTTAAGAACGTCAGCCTAAAATGATTAAGTCACTGAAGAAAATCAGTTACGAAATGGTTTCTAGTTATTTGATATTTTCACATGCATTCGTTATATGCATCAAGTCGGCAAAATTGGTGGGATTATTATGAATAATATATTTTCCCATTTTATAAATCTAAAAAGACTCAGAAGTAGGTTATTTATTTTCAAAATTCACAGTTTCAAGTAGATGTGGCTGAATAGACAAATTTTAAACGTTATTGTGGTTTCAAATAGAAAAAATGAAAACGTCTACATTGTAACTCAAGATCTTGAATAACTTGGTCGGATTTGCTGCGTGATACACCTCCTTTGATCTATGATGGATGCAGGTTTTGTTAGACTGCAGTATACATTCTGATAAAGAATTTATAGTCTTTTCTGCAGTGGTTTTGATTTATGATTTGCTGAAACTTTGCAATTCTGTTACACTGACTGCAATTAAATAATTTTCAGTTGACTGTTCCTGTATTTGTAACTTTTGAAGCCGAGTGTGTTTCATCATTTTAATTAGGGATCTTAGGTGCTAAACATAAAACTGGAAACTGTGGACCACTGAACTCTGACACAGTGGGTGAATAGTTAACGCGTTCGCCGTAAACGGTTCAGAGTTCGATCTTCAGCCGGGACGTAAGTGCATACTGCCAAGGAGTCCCATACTAGGACGAAACAGCTGTTCAGTGATCCCAGTTTTTCAAAGGTTCCTCAAACTATGTCAGTCCATGATGAATACTATCTCATAAAATTGTTTGCCTGAATTTTATTGTAGGAAATCATCTTTCTGATAACCTCATTGGTTATGCCTGTTCAAGTTAATTCACTTTGGTATAAACAAACCAGTAAATTTGGATATGAAGATTTTACATTTGGGGTGTTTAAGAGTCGCTCAAAATTATGAGACAGAGTATCAAGACAACTAGTTTTTTGAATATATATCCTTCGAAAATTAATTACGAAGGGAAATCTTCTGTAGCTATATCTGGGAAATAAAAGCCAAAATATTAGTGTTTAGTAATGCTGACTGGATTTAAATGTCAATGTGTGAGCTAGGATCAAGATATAAAATTCACAATAGTAGCTCAGTAGTGTAAGATAAACAATCTAACCCATGAAATATCATTAAAACGACCTACCAACCTGTTACAGAAGACATTTATATTTGTGTGAAAAAACCAAACTTATGACCCAGGAAGTGTTTTTAAACCTTTGATGACACAACTCAAGTCAATGTAACCAAGCCATACAAGATTGACCACCTACTTTTGACCAATTTACAAACTCTTTACCATCGCATCTCACTGGCTGACAACTTGACAAAATTGTTCATTCATCTTACCAACCATTAAGTTCATAAAATCTCAACTACGTAAGTACCTGATTTTCTTCATAGATTCACTCAGTAAGGCATTCAGACAGTTTTTCAATTTGTAACTGGAAATAAACAATAATCTTTTGCCCATAGAATCAATAGAAAACTAATTAAAGTGGGTTTTTCCAAGCAAATATTACACCTAAAATTTAAAATGCAGGATTTCTTCAAGTTTCCGCGGACTTGGAAGGGAACATGTTTAAAGCTGAGACGCATTACCACTATAATTCCCTCCGGATTCATTCTGACTTTTACAAAACTGTGTTTACTTTGCAATAGCACCTTAATTAATGATACCATTTAGTTATAAAAAGCTATGGACAGTATTTTTAAGAAATTCCTACTCTTATTTGCCATCCTTTACTTTTGCTACTGTCATAATTCCCATAATATTTTGAGAATGGTAATCTGTAACTAACGTTTCACTACCACTACTAGTCTACATTTTGAAAATGCTGTATATTACTATAGAGTCACTGACAAGGAGCCAATCAGGGAAATAAATATTTCTCCACTCAAATTGTCTATTTCCAGGAAGTTCAAATAAGAATTTTCATTTCCTTCAGTCTAGTCGTGAAACTAACAGAAGAAATATAAACTTATATTTCTAAAAAATGATAAATAGTCAAATTTCAATAAAAACAAATCACTTACTCCGCATGGCATTTCATAAATTACTGACTTCACACATATTAAGAACGGTAAATTGACAATGGCAAGAAAGATGAGTATACCTCCACCAATTAACCATGCTCGACAATGTAAAGTACGTCTACTTCGCAGTGTATATAATTGCTTTAAACTTGCATATCGATCTACACTTAAGGCCATAACAAGCCATGCTGAAAGCTGAAGTCCTAAGTGCCAAAAGTACAAAAATAATTTACAATTCCAATCACGACGCCATATGTTAGATGGATGAGATAAATCATCCAATGATATCAAAGTATAGAAGTCGACTGCAACTGAATTGCGATATGCATCAATTGTCTGCATAATAACCACCAGTGAATCAGCTAATGACAAGAATACAAAAAGAATAAAAGTTCCGGAAAATTTCAGTAGATATGTTATAATGACAACGCAACTAAGTAAGTTACCAGTTAATCCAAAGCAAGCTAATAAACCCATTGCTATAGCAACAAAATATTCACGTTCAAGCATCCATTCATAACGCTGAATTTTTTCACAAGGTCTGTTCAGTTGTTCCATTGTCGACTGAATTTCTTCCGTGATATTTCTCAACCATGTCTCATTATAAAAGTTTTTTAATTCTTGTAAACATAATTCATTTGGAAATAATTGATACTCTTTATGCTGTGGTAATAATTGTGGATTGAATTCAAAGTCCAATGGATTAGTCATTTTCTTCACAAACATTACTGCAGCATTTGGTATATTTGATCAGTCAAATAACTTTAATAAATCTATTTCATTTCTTGTCTAAATAGGGGATAAAAACTAACTCTTGAGCGTGGAATTCTGATTTGTTTGAGTTCTTTTTCCCTACGTATATTTTTCACGATATAATTGGTTAACGATTTTGATAAATGTCAATGTTCACCAATAATTTTTCGTGGATAAACCCCCAAAAAATATAAGGAAAATACTACTTTACTTTTTAGTTGTTTCTTGTTGAAAAAGACAGTTTAACTTATCAGATGTTTACAATTCCTATAAACCCAATTAAATAAAACTGCAATGAATAGCTAGCTACTGATTGGATTCCAAGTTTCTCATGCTGTGGTGGTATTTATGATGATATGAAAATAAATTTTCAAGAGGTGGTAAAGATGATAAACCAAGTTTATCTCTCAGTTTAACCCTGTAGGTCACATTCACAAGAATTAAATTTCCTGTTTGTTTCAAAGCTGTGTCTTGATGTTTTATGAATAACATACTGAGACTACGGCAAACATATCATCATCTATGCCTATTCATCGTTTCATAGAATGTTTGGTCTGTTAGTTACAAAAAAGATTAAATGACAAACGTAATTTTTTGTACTTCCGCCTAATTGCCGAACTAGGTTGTCCTCTTGGTGTCAGTCTAAGTGCACAGCAAATCCAACTCCTCTACGAAACGTTTTAATCGGTACTTGCCATGAGTGGTGTGAACAAAGGGTGGAAACAAATCAGCAAAAGCTTATTACCTTCATTTGCCAGGAGTTCCACATTTACAGGGAGTAATTACAAGCGTCGATCGCAGTTGCAAAAGTCATGAAGCAGTTTTCCCAGACCTTACAGGTCACGTTTTTGAACTCCGCTGTACTGCCCTTGCATTGTGCATGTGACTGCAGATATCTAAGAGGGTCGGAAACTTCTTATCTGATAGTTTTGTGTGGCTCGTTTTATACGATGTCAAAATTAGTAGTTCATCAGCCGGATAGAGGCCACACTGCTTCATACAGAAGAAATAGAAAGAGCACACGGGACCAGTCTTATATTCAGTAAGTCGAAGTGTCATGTTATCAGAATTAACCACGAGGATACTCCACCAATTAAAAAGGACCATTCTTCATTGTAGTATTTGTATTTCCTAATAAATAAAACAGAAAACAAGGTTGTTTTAACAGTCACCTAACCACTTATTGCTGCTACCTTCATGAAGTTAGTGGTATATTAAAATGGTAATCTAGGAGTTGCAGATTTGAATACTGGCGTGACTCGTTTTTTCTATTCAACTTAAAACCTTATCCCATATCAACAATCCCTATTTTCAAGACCATGGCTGTCTCTAGTGATCCCCAAAACAAGTATGATAACTTGGTCAAAGTTCTTCTGCATAACTAAATCAGTGTTGCTGAGTGGTTGGGACTGAGTTTTGTATGAATTACAGTCTGAAGTTTACTAATGCGTTTGTGATTTTAGTTTCTATCTAAAGTGTGTTGATCATATACTTTTATACGAGTGAGAAGAAACCAAGTTGTGCTGTTTTATTCTCCTATTCCAATGCAGGTAGTTTAGATTCAATTTTAATAACGATGATGGGTAGTGGTCAGTGGTTGAATCCGGGACATGCCTTCCTACCAAGTTCAAAATCATTATTTTATTTAAAAATATTTCATAATGAAATGTTTCTTATAACTACTATGATCTAGAAATGTTTACCGATCTAGGTGGATGTTATTTTGAACTCTGTAAAATTTTACTGTGCAATGATTCATTTTAAACATCCTGTTTACGTACTTTAATCCCTTAGCTTTTTCATCTTCATTCGCCACAAATGTGTTCTATAAGAAAATCTGGACGCAACAGAGATCTCAACATTTATGGGATGTGACGAATCAAATCTACAATCATAAGTTTACTAATAAGCTAAAATTAGTGATTCACATACTCAACATTACACATACATTCTTCATCGTATCAACTTCTAGAGAAGGCAGACTCATTCACCCCAAAGCACTTTGATTGATTTGTTATATAAAAGCCAGGATGTTGTAAATTTCAGTTCACTATCACTTCTATGGAACTGTTGGCACTAAATAGCAAAATAACGGTGAGAAAACTTGTTTTTGATCTATTGAAAAATTATTATTATGTGTCCTTTGGGTTCATGGTGCAACATAGGGGATCAGTAGCATGTCTCCATTACACTATCCTCTCTCCAGTCTTCTCAACCCAGCGACACCAATACAAGCCCACAAACTTCCATTTCTTCCTCACACCATCTACTCATTGTCACACTCACCTCACATGCCAAAACTCGTCGTTTCCCATTCGAATTCCACTCGACCACCTCACCTGACGCCTCACGCCTGACGCTTGACGCTTGATGTTTCCAATCCACCTTCTCAGTGTATGCCTAATCCAATACATCTCCACTTTCTTCTTCTACATATTTGTTGTGTGATGGCTTCTTGTTTGGTTCGTTACCAGCCGGCCAGCCAGCCAGCCAGCCAGCCATCCAACCAGCCAGCCAGCCAGCCAGCTAGCCAGCCAGTCAGCCAACCAGCCAGAGTTCCTTATTCTTCTCTCCTATTATTCTGACCATCTGATCTTCATTGTCAGTATCGAGTGAGCTAGCGTAAGCACCAGCTGTTCATAAATGTCTGTAGGTAGTTGGAAGTGCTTTTCGTGATGCGCCAAGTCTCTGAAACATCCATCACATGCAAGCACTGACTTGACCTACATTAGTCTTGAGAATCCGCACCTTCTTGTTTGTGCAGTAGAGTGTAGTAGATCTCCACACTGATTAGTGAAGGCGTGTCTTGTTGTCCTTCCGATGATGGTATTGACATCTTCATCTGTGTCTGTTAATAAAATGACTTTTAAATGTTGGGGAAAATAATTGATTTTTGTTTCGGGTAGCTCTAAGAACGCAATTTAAACAGTTAGATTAGTGGCTACAGTCCGAGAATTCAATGGAAAAAAAGATTTTTGGTACATTATTTCTCATATCCTAGTTATTTGGACGACACCATTATTTACAATCAAAGATCTAAAAACATGCTATTGCCTTGCGTACTGTAATACATTGGCATAACATTCGAATGATTTGGGAAACAAGTAGATAACTCTGAAGGCTACCAATGTAAACTCTAAAATAGACTATTAAGTTTCTTCATTTTTGCATAAAAACTATCTTTCTAGGCGAAATAACAAAATCTAATGGAAATGGTGGAAAAGATTTGTAGCTCATGATGAGGATAGTGGTGATTTGGTGCCTTTAGAGCATTGATATTTTGTAATGGACATTGTGCCACCAGGTTTGGTGATGGAACTAACTTCACAAGGAAGTGAAGCTTCTTCGAGTAATACATAAATGTTTAGATAGTGTTTTTGCTGACCTTGGATTTTGTCCAACTGTAAGTTGAGGAAAGGAAATTTCATCACACTTTGACTTCCTTGACCTTAACTTTTACTCGATCTAGCTGCTACAGGATCCTTGTTAGAGTGGTTTTGTGCCATTTGTTTATGTTACGCTGTGGATCATTATTAACTTGTTTCGTCAGTTTACCCTAAGTTGATGGATGACTGTTTTCTTCCTAAGTAGAGTGTAGATTAGGTCTTTATCCATATATCTGCTGATCGACTTTCCGTTCAAATATCATGCTTCTTGGAATTCTCTTGCAGCTTTCGAACTTTCTTTTCTGAAGATTTGTGAATTCTTCCAATAGAATTTGTGATTGTGACTGTCTGCATATATTGAAACCACGGAACCCGCGTAATGTCGCTTGGCTGCTAGTTGGTGTTCATAAATTCTTCGAGCAATGTTATTAGGAGTTTTTGCGATCGATTTTATAGATAACACTTGATTCGTCTTCTTTTGTCGATGGATCTTACAGCTTACAAACCATGATCTGTGGTGATTTTGTTGATTTGTGTGCTACTCCGATGGTAAACGGAAAAAAATCGCTTGACAATTTCTTAGACATTCTTGATTTAAAGTAGGATAACGTGCTTTCTGATTTGACGTGACTGCTTTATATTCTGTCCTTTTGATAATCATTTATTGATAAAGTCGAGTGGACAGTCTTTGATTTTGAACACTTTGCGCATGTATTCCTCCTGCGTTTTCTGTGGAGTCCCACTGGCGAAATATATTTCGTCTCTTCAGAATGCGTTTTTCATAAGTTTGCTTATGGATTGTAGGATGATTGATGTTATATTTCAAAATGTGATCAGTATTTGTGGCTTTCCTGTACACTTGAGTTTGTAAAGTCTCATCATGGGTGCTGCTGGTGATAACATCTAAAAATGGAATTTTATCGTTAGCTTCCTCCGTTTTGAAGTGAATTTCTTCAAATATCTGTTCGACTAGTTTGAACGTGTATTCCATTTCGTCTTTCTTTAGGATTACAAATATGTCGACAAGGTACATAATCCAAGTTTCCGGTAATAGTGTATTGTATATTGGCTTTTGTACTGAAGTTGTGTAACACATTTGTCAGTGCTAAGACATCTTACAACCAGGCTGATATGCAACAGCTTCAGATTTCTTTGTTAAATTTGACGGCGTGAATATTTGGATGAGATGTACAGGATGACATAACTTTTAAATGGCCTTGATGCAATACTTGGGGCTATAAATATACAACGGAAGGAGTAATGGTTCCAGATTACCTACCACCAGCCTAAATTATGAGTTTAAAAAATGATAAAAAGTGATGTATAACTTAATGAAAATCTTCTAAAAACACACCGAATATTAGCGGATTTTCTCCATTTAATGTCATAAATCCTTATTAATGCACTTGGTTTTCTTTATAATCCTAAAGTTGTTTTGATAGCTATTTTAAATCACAGAAAAAAGAAGACAAGGTATCTTCAAAATATTATTCTAAATAATGTACTCTTTAGACTTACTAAGGGTACGCAATACTGGTTAATATTTCCTTAGATGAAAATCATGAGGGTATTAGTAGGTGGAAATGATATCTTTGATGTAGGAAACACAACATGCTCAATTACCACGTATT